GGAGCGGCGGCGGGGGGCGGCGGGGCTGCGCGGCCGGGAGCGCCGCCCGCCGCCGGACTCTTTGCGCGCGGCGCGGTTATGGAGACGACGGGCGCACCGGGGAGTTTGGAGGCGGAGGAGGAGAGGCGCGGTCCGGTGTGGGTTGCGTGGTCTTGGGATGGGCTCCCCCGGCCCGGGCTGCCCAGCGGCAGAAGCTGTTGTGGGGGGCGCCATAGGTTGAGCCGGGGGTGGGTGGAGGGACGCCGGTCCAGTTGGACAGGGTGGGCGAACTTCTTCCTTTGGTTTTGTGTGTGTGTGTGTGTGTGTGTGTGTGTGCGGGGGTTCCTCCGCATCTTAGACCAGGGTCAGTTTTGAGGGTCTGATGCATTTTCGCTGCGCGGTTCGGAGACCCCAGGCCAAATATGCCAGGTGTGGGGCGACTAACTTCCCCGGCAGAGACAGGTGGTCCGGTTCTTGTCCCTTTGCCCTGCTTTTCCTGGCGCTGCTTGGCCACTTTGCACGGAGCCCTTTCCAGTCGCCACAGTAGCCCTGCGCTTTCTCTCTCCATGCAGGCCAAAAAGTTTGGCCTGGGTGGCTGCTTGGCACGCTCCGTAAAACATAGGAATGATAAATATCCCCGAAACCGATTGGTCTTTGCTGCTGCTGGAAGAGCGTCGTGTCTCTGCAGGCACTTTGGAAAGATTGCCAGATTGGAGTAGAAGCGGTGATGAGAGAGTCGTAGAAACTCATGGGCCTTCCTGGAGGGTGGGAGTTTTGGAGCAAGGCCGCCTGGGAAAAGAAGATGAAGGGGCATAATGGACTGGCAGATTCTTGGCATAGGCTGTCTCCCCGCCCCCATCTGGAATTAGGGGGCTTTCAGTCTCCGACTGGCACTTAATTGGTGTTTCAGGGGACTAAAAACCTGGGAATGTGCTTGTCCGGGAGATGGCACTCAAAATAGTGCCAGCCAGTGTCCGCCTTGCTGTTGTGTGTGTGGTTGCGTCAGCCCTCTTCGGGGTGTCTGCCCTGCTCAGGCCCACCAGAGAGGGGGTGGCGGGAGGGCTCACCCACAGCAGGGTCCCGCTTGCCCCACTGGCTGAGAGGCTCCCCTGCCCACTTTAAAACGTTAGTGCCAAGACATGGAATATATTCGGCACAGATTGGCCACGGCAGTTCTCCAGGCTGTTTTCCCAGTTCCTGCTGCAAAGAGGTGCCCACCTCTGTTGGTGCTCCATCAACTGTGGTGACTGGCCAGGATCACGTGCTGCAAAGCAGATGAGGTTCCTGCTGAACAACATGGTGTTTGCTGACTGCAGTTCAACCTTGTGTGGAGGATGCTAGCCTTGAATATCCCTAGGCTAAGCCGTGCCACTCACTCTGAGCCTAACCCAGCTCACAGGGTTGTTGTTGGCCCTCTGGGCATCTTTGCAGCCTTCCTCTGAAGGCTCTGAGCTCGTACGTCTTACAAGTCTTGCTTTCTACACGGTTCGGAGTTATTCACGTCTTGTGCACCAATTTTTAGTTTTTGAATTGGATTGTTTATTTATTATTTCAATCATTTAGAATATTTTGTTTACAGGTAACCCCAGTGCTGCAAATACGCTACATATTTGGCCAAGAGGCATGGTTTATCTTGTTCATCCGCGTCTGTGAGAATTTGTAGTTTAATGTTATTGTACTTTTGAAGAGAAAACCAGTTCTTGGTCAAGGTGTGATTAGTAGGACTGGTACATTTGTATCTGTTGTATCTTTGTCTCTCTGTTAGGTATTAAAAGACTTGAAGCATGTTTACCCTGTTCTACAGCCCAAAAAAAAAAAAAAAAGGTTCTAGGAGTAGCTTATGACCAAGCAGTAAAAATAGCAGTCTTAGTCCACAGGCTTCATTCAACAAAGACACAGCATGCAAGGAAGAAGGAATGGGGAGGGAAGAGGAAATGGTTAGGCAGGTGGTCAGCAGGGCTTGGCAAGGTAGCTGGTGCCTCCCCTCTCAGATATGGAGGTGAGGACCAGTCCAACTGGAACAGTGTCTCGGGATCCTGGCACACGCTTCTGGCAGCCTGGCTCCTTCTTTTTCCCTGTAGGTCAGTTAATCCTGCTTGGGGTGGCCGGGAGGGTGACTCAGCTGCACCACGAGCAGACTTTTGATGGGTCATGATGCTTATTTTACAATGCTTGTGATTTTAGAATCTGATTGCATGTTAGGAGTGGCCAGGTGTGGGTCCGTCCGGCTTTGAAGCTCCCTGGGTGCTGACAAAAGCAGCCGCTTCCGCTCGGCCTCCTCTCCAGCTTCTCCTGACACATAACCGCCTGCCTCCTCTTGTGCTGGGATGCTGGGAGGGATTGTTTTGGACCCAGCGTGGCATTTCCTGAGATTCTTAGAACAGGAATGGGTTAGCTCCGGCCGGCCGACGGGGAGTCAGGACTCCTGGGTTCTATTTATGGCACTGGGGCGGGTTGAGGGGGAGGAAAGGGGGCATGGTGTTCCTCGGTCCTTCCATCGGCAGCCACAGTTCAGAAAAATGCCCCTTGCATTTTGTTCGGCCCGTGGAGAGCAGGGCGGGTGCCCGCACCTTTGAGCACGAGACGAAAAGCAGCGCTGGATGTTGCTTGTCTTTTTGGAAGGCTCCAACTAGTGAAGCGCTCTGTGCATGCACAGTGGATCCTTTGGCTGTGACAGCCAGTGCAGGAGTGGCTTCATGGCAAGCTGCAGCCTAGTCCTTGCACTCCGGTCGCGTTCAAGGTAGAAAGCATCCGACTGACCTTTTGGGAGAAGAGCAGTGCTCTGACTCTGACCTTCTCTGCATCAAGCACTCCCCAAGGGTGTTCAGCAACAATTCCCATCATCCTGTTGAAGAGAATTTGACTATTGGGTGGTATAAACACGCAACAAATAAAATAGGAGTTGCCACTCAGGGAGCTGCCTCCAGTTGCAGGCAGCAGCTGCGCATGACCTGAGGGTTGCACCAGACCTGTGTTACTGCCGCCTGTCTCTCCTGCTCCAATGTTCTCCTGGAGAATACCTCTATGCCCATCGTCTACATGGAGGGTGGTTATTTGAAAGCAGACCAGAAGCAAAGCAGGGATGCAGCGTGGAAAAGGGAAATGACCTATTTCTTAAGACACTAAAGATAGAAGTTTTCGTTTTGCATGTGAGCTTTCGCCTCCTCCCGCCTCGGAGCGAGGCAGGGTTGCCGAAGCAGCCTGAAGCAGCCTTTTCCAGCCCGGGGCCCTCTGGCGCGTGGGCAGTCCCGAGCCCCGTTGCTCTGGAGCGAGCACCATGTGGGAAAAAGGCGTGAGGAGCAAGCCAGCTGGCCTTGTTTTGCTTTCTCCTCCGGCTCGTGAATGTGCTTTTCAGAGATGCAGACAGATGTACAAGCCTGCACGCCCCACGCCTTTTCGGCTAGCGCAGCCGGCTCAGCAAGGAGTGCAGGAAGTTGCCTCACTACCCGGCAGGACGGGAGCCCAGGGATGCGGCTCGCCTGCCCCCCCAGCGGCCGTGATGAAACCCGGCAGGATGCAGCCCTCTCGCCGGCGCACCGCAGTCGGCCCGTTCCGGCACAAGCAGGGAGCCACGGGGCCGTCGCCACACACCCTGCGGTTTGACCCGTGCCTCCTGGACTCCTCAGAGCCCAGAGGGGAGGCTGCCAGCGGGGCATGTGCTGCGGGGCCCAGCGGCTTCTAGGCACGCTCGACAGAAGCGGGGCGGAATTGCACACTGCGCATCTTGAAAAAAGACAAGAAAAAGTGAAGAAATCAAAGCTGACTTTCCTGTGGAAGGACCAGCTCAAACGAAGGGCATCACCGCCTGGGCTTACTACAAAAGACACTCTGTGAGAAGTCCAGTGTGGTTTTTTAAATTTTTCTTCTATTTTCTTAACACATACAAATACATGAAAGAGAGTATCAAACAGAACAAACGGAAATAAACAAAGCAAACTAAAGCGAACAAAGTTGCTAAGAGAATTTTAAACAAACACAGCCTATACATTCAATCCCCCAAGACTATCTATCTTGCATCTTTCAACACTCTGTGAGAGTTTCGCAGAAAATAAATCATTAATCTGTGCAACCACAGATCTTCCGATCACTTTAAGTCCTCTACTGCTTTGCTTTTTCTTTTCCAAGTTCGACTCCCATTAATCATGCTGAACATAATACAATTTCCATTTATTATTAAATTCCTCTAACGGTCTTCCAACTTTGCCACCACAGCATATTCTGCTAGTCTATTTCTCCAATCTTCACCTGTTGGGGCTTCACTGATATCCATTTAGAAGCAACTGTGATTCCTGCTGCTGTTGTCATACCTGAATAACTCTGACATATTATCTGAAAGGATCTCTGGCACTAAACTCAAAAGTTTTGGATTTCTGACCCGGAAAACCTGGCTTTTTGACTGGGATCTACTTGGGATCTACTCCCCATTTGTCTGCACATTTAACTTTGGTGACTTTAGCGTAACCTATCCGGTAAGGTTGTTATGAGGATAAGAATGACAGGAGAAGAATTGTGGGCAAAGACTTGGGAACCTTGGAAGAAAAAATTGCAGGCTGTTAGGAGGAGGAGGAGGAGGGCTGGAACTGGCAAAATTGCTAAGTGTTTGCAAACCCTGCTTGAGAGTAAAGCTAAGGTTGGGTGTTTTATATGTGCCCCAAACTCCTTGGAGAAGGGAGGAGTTAAGCTGACTCATACCCTGGATCTTTTTATCACAATGCCCGTGGCTTGAGGACCAGCTCTTAATAATCACATTGTGAGTGCCAGAATGTATTTCTGGCCCTCCAAACAGGCCCGATGGGCAGAGCTTCCTTGAGCTGAGGATGTAATTCCACTTTGGAGGAGCTCTTGATGGATGCAAGAATGGGAGGAACCAGAGCAAAAGGACTTGGGCCAAAATACCTAAATGCCTATTTTTAGCTGAAAATCAGCTGTTATCCCAGCTAAACTTTAAGAGAGGCATTTCCACCTTTTCGTGTGGAGAAGGAAGAAAAGCTGGCAAACCACCAGACACTTGATGGTTGAGGGGGGGAAGCTGTGGCTTCGGAGGACCAGTTTCAGCCGCTGGGGCACAGTTCCATACCTCTGCTCTGGACGGTGGGTTGCCTCGAACTGAACCCAAAGAGCACGTACATTTTGTTGTATCTCTCTTTTCCTTTTGACGCATGCTTAACCTTTCATGGGCCGTGCTGATTTCCCTAGGAAGAAAGCTGATGTTTTTGAAAAAGGAAGTTTTCGCACTTCTTCTTGAAAAAACGGTGTGTTTAAACTGTATTTGCGTCTGTAGGTACCCATTCATAAATGCAGTTATATCTATGCATCTGACAGTGTGTGGGTGGGTTTTCTAACTTGAAAGGTGGCTGTTTCCCAGCCAGAACACATTTTAGCCTCCTGTACACAAAAGGGAACAAGAGGTCCTTGGAAAATTGGGTGGGAATTTCCTGTGAATTTTGCATTCGGGCTCCTATGTTCAGTGGGAAGCTTGCTGGTGATGCGCTTGTGAAAAAAAGAACCAGAACGCCCTGCTGGATCAGGCCCAGGGCTCATCAAGTCAAATTCACACAGGAGCTCCCCATGGAAAACCCTGCCCATGTTCCCCAGCGACTAGAGAGCACTGCTGTCTCTGATGCTGGAAGGAGCGCATGACCATGAGGACGAGCAGCGAAAGATAGCTGCCTCCCTTTCCTTTCATGAATGAGACCGATCCCCTTTTGAAGCCCTCCGGATGGATGACCCTCGCTCCATCCTCTGGAAGTGAAATCCACAGTTCGGCGGGGGGCTACGTGAAGAAGTGCAAACTCCGCCGATCCGTTGTGAATCCACAATTCTTCAGGCCGCGGTTGGCGTGGAGCTCGGAAGCGGGGCTTTTAATTCTCGGAAAGGATGGGATGGAGAGGGGTGTTGGGTACAGCTTCTCAACTTTATTATTCCTTCCGCAGGCCCGTGACACCGAGACGGGGGAATTGGCGGCCATTAAGATTGTGAAAATTGATCCAGGTGAGAGAGGGAGGGTCTCTTAATACCTTAATGTATTTGGTTGGCCGAAGTTACCGGAATTGCTAATGAATTCTGTCCAGTGTAAACTGCAATTTATTTATTTATTCATATATACATACGTGTATCTATAGGCTGCCTGTAACTGCCATCCTGTGAATTGCTGTGAATCTGCCTTCTAGTATAGGAGCAGCATAGTATCAATACTAAGCCAGAATTCACAGCCATTCTGGCTTCTCATTGAGCCGATTCTCATGTAACAGCAACCCAGAATACGGATTAAATATGAGTTGTTGCTGTAACTTGGGTTGTTGGTACATGTGAGCCTTCCCTTATGGCTTGTTAAGCCTGAAAACCCAGAGTTCACAGTCTGACCACAAAACATTTGCTTTCTTTCTGCTTAACTGCACACAACCCATATTTAAACCATTGTACAAAGTCCGCATGGAACAACAACCCAGAATTCAAGCACAACCATGTTCTGGATTGTTGTTACATGTGAATCGGGCTTTGATGTAGGGACTGGGCTGTTGTTCTTGGTGGAATTGCTGCTTGTTTCCATTTTTAGACATTATTAGACTTCGTACTGTATTTAGATTTCATCCTAAACCAAGATTTTTTTTTTTAAAAGAACCTTCGGCAAATGGGGCGGCATAGAAGCCTTCTAAACAAACAAACAAACATATAGTGAAATCCTATGCATGGGTAGGCTGAAGAATGTCCTGCAACTCTCATCCTGTTTGGGTCCTATTCATGCTCCAACATTCCAACAAATGTTGAATTTGACATTTTGCACTAGAATGCTTTCAGTTTGCATCAGATCATTTTCGGGGGCCTCTAGAGAGTTCTCTAGTCCAGATGTTCCACTCGTACTTAGTAAAAACAAAGCTTTAAAGACTACCCATGTTATTTTGTTCAAATCTCAGTATTTCACCTGAAATATATGAGAAATAAAGCTAAAACTTACCTGGGGAACAATCCAATGCACATTTAGATAGAGAAGAGTCCTGCATTTTTCAGCATGTCTCATCCAGGACTGCTTTGTAGACTTTTTTCTGTGCAAAAATGCATAGAATTGCACATTTAAATGTTGTATTATATAGAACTTTTCCTGGAACTCTGAATCATCTGGAGGAAGCACTGGTTACAATTTTGAAACGGGTAAGATTTCCTAATAATTGAATTTGGAATTGGCACCCACTCATTGTTACTAACAAACTTATGACATGGAAAAAGGAATTTTGCCTTGGAAATGACAGCTCTTAGCCGTGTGCTTAGGATTCCAGCCTTTATATACCTGCCTTCTTTAAAAATACAGAAGCAAACAAAATTGTGTTGATTTTGCTTAAAAAATCATCCATTATTATTGATTTGCAATTCAACTGAGCAGGAAGCAACCAACTTCCCCAGGTGTGATTGGAATTCAGGTTTATCAAATCGCTTCGGAATTTGAAAAAGCTGGTTAGAAAATGATGCGTGGATAGAAAAAGGCATTAAAGGTGGGACATGATTCACCTCCTCAGGGGACGACATTGGATCTATTCAGCAAGAGATCACTACTCTCAGGGACTGTCGCCATCCCAATGTCGTGGCTTACTTTGGCAGCTATCTCAGGTGAGGGATTTACCTGTTCGGAGGAGGGCTTTCGTGTTGGCAGGTGGTTCACAATTGTGGGTGGAACGGCAAAATTGTGATGCGCCATTTGCTGAGAGCACAAGCAACGTCTTGCCGAAATTCCCGATGGCCCACCAACCTGAACAAATGGGGGATCATTTGTTTTACGAGTTTCTCTAAAGTCGGAAAGCAAAACTCTTCTGGAAGGAGGAAGCTCCTTCCTCTACACACAGAGATGTTCTTAAATTGCGTTGCAAGAGGAAAACGGTGGGCCATGAGTACAATATTATTAAGTAGATCTGCGTGGACTTTTGATAATGCTCCATTATTCCGTGTCCTAGGAATGATCGCCTCTGGATTTGCATGGAGTACTGTGGCGGGGGTTCCCTCCAAGAGATTTACCACAGTGAGTATTTTCCTACTCTCTCCATGGGATCTGAGCCTTTTTGAGCAGGATGGCGTCTTTCTCCCTTTCTCTGGGTCGTCCCGCGTCGCTCTCGGCAGTGGGGGCCTTCCCATGGGATGGCGAGCAGTGTGTGAGGTCACTCAGACAACGCACGAGGAAACTGTAGTGTTGGGGGCCCCCACCCTGCGAGAAGCGCATCCCTGCTTACTCTTGAGTAGACGTACAGTGATATTTGGGATGCTCCTTGAAAATGGCCTGTTCCAGCTGGCCGGTGAGGAGAGACGCCTCTGGATTTTTCCATGCTAGTGGCACCGGAAAACCTCATTCCTTGCTAGCAGGGGCATCTGTGTACCCGCCTACTTGTGTGTAGGCAGAGAATGGATGGCCACCGCATCTCACCGTGACAAAAAGGAAGCTTTCCTGGCTCACGTGTTGTAGCAAGAGTCTGTCTGCTGCACTTCTGAAGAGTTTTACTTCTGCTTTTGGCATCCGGAGAGGGTGCGCTTGGGTCAGGGAGGGGAGGAAAGCTGGACGAGGTGATCTGGTTACTCTTACGGAAGCGCCTGCCTCAGTTTAACCCCCACTTGCTGGGGAGAAATTTGGGGGATGCTGCTACTGGGGAGCAGAGGTCCACCTGTGGGACACCTGTGCCCAGTCCGATTCATTTTGGACTGAGAGTGGGAAACTTCGGGGGAGATTCTGTGAGGAGGAAGAGAGGCCGAGGAGTGGAAGCGGCCACTCTGAGGAGACAGGGACTGGGTTCAGACAGCACTCAAGGGTTGAGCTTGGGTTGAGTGTGGCTTGCTATTGAACCATGGATGGTTGATGAACTCTGGGTTATCTGAAGCCAGCCGGGCTAACAAACCATGGTTTGTTGACCTTGGAACAACCCGTGAGAAAAGCCTGGTTTGTGGTTAGCCAACCAGGGTTTGTTAGGTTGGCTAGGTCTGACGACAGGATACTCCATGGCTCAGTGACAACAGCTGAGTGTGGGTTATCCTATTGTCTGGGCCCAGCCGGCCAGTGAGGGAGCAAGGAGACCATCCCGGAGTAGCGAGTACATCACCTTGGACTGACCGAGCTGGGAATCTAGGCTACACTGCAGTCCAGAGTTATTTAGGCCCGACTGTCAGCCTTTCCTTGCAATTCCTGCCAAAGTTTAGCTGGGTGGGAAGATGAGGCTGCTTCTTGCTTTGGAAGGAGCCCGGGTTCAAGCAGAGCAGGAAACTGTTCCCCAAAGCTGCCACCCTGTTCCAACCAGCCTGCAAGGATCCAGCTGAGAATCCACAGCTGGCCCAGAGCTGCCCAAAGGAGCTTCATGGTGGAATGGAGCCTAAAACCCCGAGTCTCCCAGGCAAATCTTGCTTTTCCGTCACGTCTCTTTGGGGTTGGAGTGGTCTGGGCCACGAGACAGTTATTTTTATTGCAGTTAGATGTTATGATGCATTTAAGGCCTTTTTTCCCGAAGAAGCCGATCGGTTCATCCCTTGCCCACAGCTTTGCCATCTCAAGAGAGGCCACACACAAGGAAAAAGGAACGGGGAGGGAAGAGGGATGAAGTCAGCAGCATCGGTGGGTGGTCTCTCATCCGTTCTCATCTTCCTCAGTCTGGCCTGGTGGAATGACTGTTGGGATAAAAATGTACTCTGTTGCCAAATAAAGATTCCTGCTTTCTTTTTTCCTCCAGGCACCGGACCTCTGTCAGAGAAACAAATTGCTTACGTCTGCCGGGAGACTCTTCAGGTGAGTCATGATGCATCCCCAGTCAGACCCGGCTCCAGGTGGTGTTGGCAGCAGCTTTCTTTTGCCAGGTGCTGGTAAAACCTGAAGCTAGTGGATGTGCGAGGCACCTGGGTTGTGCCCAGGGCAATTTCAACCCTGCCTTCCCCCACTTGGGTTGGGAATGGCTGCAAAAATAGAGGATTGGGATTCTTTTCCGGACCGTCATCCAAACCCTCGTTCGGTGGTGTGGGTTGGCTCTGGAGAAGGGCTGTGTGAGAAATCCGTGCAAGCGAGTGGTCCCGCTCAGTCCAGGCATTTTGTACCGTCGAGCCAATATCTGGTCTTCTACTTTTAAAGCTAGCTGCAAGTCAGGTGCTTATTTCAAGGCATAGAAATGTGCATAAAATACAGCCGTCTTACATGCAATGTATGAAAAGCACGGCTGCAAACTGCAGTCATATTTTATGCAAATTTCCTTGCCTTCAGAAAAGAGACCCAACGCACAGCCCACTTTAAAAGTGGAAGCCACAAAGAAGGCCGTGATTCGGTTCGTTTTCGGCTCTCGCGTTTGCAAGGGGTGCCAGCGTGGGCTGAGCGCAAGCCGCCCGAATTCTTCGGTGTCGCCTGTCCCTGCTCCGGAGTTTAGGTTGCTTTCCTGATGCAACGTCCGGAGTCTCCTTGGTGTGATTTTTGTTCCATTTGCTCATGGAATAACTGCCAGGAGCTTTTGGAAAGCTGTGCTTGGGAGGTGGCTTTCGGCATGGATTCCCACAAACTTGCTTTCGCTTCACCCGAGCAAAACCCTCGCTCCCGGCCTTCACCTCCTGTAGCGCTGCGGTTTGACCCTGGCTTTCCACACCTTTGAAAGGAAATTCCATTTTTTCCGCCGTTTTCTCTGTTCTTTTCCTGTGTTCCTGAAGCAGATGCCTGGTTGGGGCGGTGGGTGGAATAGGCTGAGCTGCCCATGAGGAAAGGGCATAGCTTACAGTGCTTTTCATTTAGAAGAAAGGTGCCCAAGGTGGGTCAGAGGAGGCACGATTGAGGCCTCTAAATTTAGGTGCGGTGATTTCCATATGTGGTGTGAATGTGAAAACATTTTTTTAAAAATCTGGGTAAGGATTTAAGCCGATGAGTAAGGTACAGAATTTGAAAATTCAGTCGGATCCTGAACTAGCAATGTTGCTCATTTTTCGTGGAAAGAAATGGAAATGGAATAGCAAGGAATTAATAGTAAATGGGTAACCACAGCAAAATAGAAAGAGGGTTCGACGCCAACCCAGACACATCCACACAACCTTTTCTGTATACTAAAATAGGGCCTCCTCTCTCTCTCTGTCCATTCATAACATCGGTCCGGGCCTTCAAAACAAGACACCTAAAACATAGCATGCGTACTACGAGAACGCTACAGCTGTGCACCTTGCTGTTATGTTCTTTTTTCAGAATATATTCGCCCTCTTGCCCTACAGCCTTCATGGATTTTTATCCGTGGTCCAGACAACAGCATCTTCCATTTGCAACCCTTCTCTGGCTTCCTCTTTTTCCATCCTGTTTCTTCTCCCCCAGACGGGGAGACGGAGTGGATGGCCTGTGCCTCTTGGGCGGCAGAGCTGGCAGAATCAATGGTGAGAAGAATAATGTGTTTTTGTTTCCTCCCACCAGGGACTTCACCATCTGCACACCAAAGGGAAAATGCACCGGGACATCAAGGTGAGGTCGTCCCACAGAATCTTGTCCTCAAGTTCCCCTGTCTTCATCCTGCCATATCGGGATAACTCAGCTCCCCCAGTGCACTTTCTGTTGTGTAAATGCCACATAAGAAGACTTACCATCTTCTACCTTCTACTAGACCTCAAAAAATGGCCTGTTCAAAAAAAAAAAAAAAAAGGCATTCTGCCTTTTACACCCCTCCCCCTAAATCCTTTCTCATGATTTCCGCCTCTTTTTCAGGGGGCCAACATCCTGCTCACGACCAACGGTGACGTCAAACTCGGTCAGTTCCTTCCTTCTGCATCCTCTCTTGTTTGTTCTTCCCCGACAAGCCGTTTCTGCACAAGTCAGCACCACAAAACACCTCCATTTCTGCCATCTTTAGGGTGCAAGCTTGTTCATTTTTGGATACCAAACATCCAGCGACTTCTGGCTTTCTCTGCCCAGTCTGCTGGGAGGTGGAGGCCTGAACGCAGCTTAAATATACGGATGTTTGTGCTCTTGTCCCCCTTCTCAGCTCATTTGTGGCACCCGTGCCTTTACTGGATGGGCCTTGAGGTGTTTTCTGTGCCACCGAAGACAGGACCTTAGAAAAAGAGTGGTGGCCAATTGAAGGGCAGTTCTTGACCGTCCTCTCTTTGGCCATGCAAGGCTGACGGGGGAAACATAGAAACAGCGAGTCAGAAGGAGTCTCCCGGGCCATCTAGTCTGACCCCCGGCTCTGGTTCTTTGGAAAGACCTGCCCCAAAGCCAGGAAGCCACCAAAAGGAGAGATGATCTCTGGGAAAGCTCTGAGAGCCACATTCGGCCCTTGGGCCCAAGGTTCTGCGCCTCTGATATCCGGCCTCGGTCAGCTCCTTAGCGGAGAGAGAGAAACGGTGTTGGGTCCCCCCCCCCCAACGCACAAGAGGTCCTGGGAGCTTTGGGGAGCGGAAGGCAGCAGTTTGTGGGATGTAGGGAGGAAGGAAACATTTACCTGCCTGGTATTCCAGGTGAGCTGAGAGGGTGACAAAAACCCAACGAGCCCAGAGCTCGTGCTTGGCATCTTTGGGCCGATCCCTCCCGCCTAGCCCAAACCCAGAGCTCTGCCACCCTTTTCTGCAAAAAGAACAGGCACCCCCTTCCCTAATCACGCCTTCCCGTCTTTCTTTGCTTTCTGCAGCGGATTTCGGGGTCTCTGCGGAACTGACCGTGTCCGTGGCCAAGCGGAAATCCTTCATCGGGACTCCGTATTGGTAATACAACTGGGCTGCTGCTGCTTTTCCTCCCTGTCTTCCCATGCTGCTTCTGGGGCGTCATTTGCCGGCCCGGGGTTTTCCATCTGGATCGTTTGCGGCCGTCTCTCCACCTACATGGCGTCTCTTCCACCGACACACCAATGCATTCGCCACGTCCTCACCCGCTCTTTCGGGCCGGGTCCTTCTCCCCTCACCTGGCGGTGGGGGGTCGTGTGCCTTCCGTTTCCGTCCCCGCAAGGTCACGCTCTCGCCTTCTCGCAGGATGGCCCCAGAGGTGGCCGCGGTGGAGAAGAAAGGCGGCTACAACCATCTCTGCGACATCTGGGCGCTCGGCATCACCGCGATCGAGCTAGCGGAGCTTCAGCCGCCACTTTTCGACCTGCACCCCATGAGGTGAGGGCGACGCAGGCTGCGCCGACGTGGAATCCTGGGGAACGTTTTGGGAGATTCCAAAAGGGAGGAAAAGAGTTGTCCTCATCCTCCACCCCCAACAATATCTCTTTCCAGCTTTTCCATGGGAAAAGTGATCCATTTTACTTAGTGATCAAGGCAATAGGGTGCTTAAATTCCCCCGAACTCCCCTTAGGCTGAAAGCATGTCCCATCTTTCCTGCAGAGCCTAATTCAAAATGTATTTCTGTTTCGAGAGTTCCTGGTTTCCAGTGCTGTTCGAAAACATCAGCTGATTTTCCAAATACGCTGGGGGTCATGGACTCCCACGGGGACAGAATACCCCAAAGCACCTTCTTGAGGCTGGAAGGCTGGACAACGGAAAAGGCCACCTCATTAGCTTCATAGCCAGACTGGCTTTTCCAGCTTTCAGAGCGGACTTAGGGTAAAGTTGTGCTTGTCGCTGTTCACAGTACACCTGGCACTGGCCTGGCCTACTCTGCAGGGTTGTTGATCTACATGGGATAAGCCTTGCTGATTAATTATTTTTCTGTTTTCCACTGCAAGCAGGAACTCTGGAACAATGATGGAGAGAAAAAAAGACATTTGTATTAATTCGATTTTTTAAAATGAGTCTGTTCATTTGCAGTATGAAAAAGCCAAGACAGCCGGTTTACTATTAGAGTAACACCAATTCCACACTTATTTCTGAGAGATCACATTAGTATCTGTAGTGCTTGTGTCTTTTGTGGGTTGGCTGTGATGTTGCTGAATATCTTGTACGCACCTTTTTTTCCTGACCCGTGTGTAAAGGTCCAAGGAGAAAATTTCTACCCTAAATTCTTCTGTACAAGTGAGCTAAAACTCTGCGGGATATGATGGTGTATTCTTGGGTTCATAATCAACCTTTGATCACTTGCAGGGAGTAATATTTTCTGCGGCTGCCAAAAATGTTTCTCATATTAATGGTTTTGGGGTTCAGTCATGTACATGTCTAGATTCGAAAAAGGCCTACAACTCCCAGCATCCCCCTGTCAGACAGGCTGGGGGATGCTGGGAGTCTCTTCTGTCCAGACAGCTATAGGACTGAGCTTTTAATGCTTCTCTAAGGGTTTGTTGATAGATCTGTCATTTGGACAGTTCCTTGCACTTGGAAAGGGTATTGTTTTGGTTGTTATTCTGACCAAGAACTTGTAATGGCTCCTGGGAAAAAACAAGAAAGGTACTTAGGAATGAGCTGGTAATAAGCCTTATTTAAAGTGTCTCTGGGAGTCAAAGCAAAAAAATGTGGAATAGGTGTAAGGTGATGCTTTGTGTGTTGGATTGGGAACTCAGGTCTGGGTTCCAGTCCCCACATAGATGAGAAGCACCCAGTCAGCCAGCACCAGCTGCGAGGTAAATGTACTATAAAACAGTGGACTATAAATGTGATAATAGACCAAAAAAAATAATAATCAGGTTTTGTTCTCCATGCAGAGCCTTGATGTTGATGTCAAAAAGCAGTTTTCAGCCTCCTAAGCTAAAAGACAAGACATGCTGGTGAGTGACTTTGGGCCAGTCATAGACTCTAGGCCATCCTACCTCGTAGGGTTGTTGTGAGGATAAGATTAGGAGGAGAAGGAGGATAGAATGAGTTCTTTGGAAGGAAAAAAGGTGGGATATCAATATGAATGAATGAACTTTATGGCCAGTAGAGAGAAAATCTAATAATAAAATAGGGGAAATCTAATAAATAATAAAATAGCAATTAAAGTGCTAATTAGCACGCCACAGGCGGGCGTCTCCCCAGAGATGGCCGGTCCCCTTGGAAATGTTGATCTGGGGCAACTTCTCCACCCCGAATGTGTCCAGTGCCCCTTTAAAGCCGCCCGAATGGTGGCCATCGCCGCTTTCCAGGGTGGTGAGTTCTGTGAGAAGAGCTGGGCTGGACCCACTCGGGGTCTGCCCCTCCACACCCTGCCCACGCAGCAGCCCACGGGATGCCCTCTTACCCATGTTCCCCAGCAACGGGTGTCCCTTGGCCCTGGGCTGTGGCAAGCGATGGGGTGTCTTTCCTGGTTCACATGCGTGATCTTTCCTTTCCTTCCAGGTCCGTGGACTTCCACCATTTCCTCAAACTCTCCCTGACGAAGAACCCCAAGAAGCGGCCAGTGGCTGAAAAGCTCCTGCAGGTGATTTGGTTTGGGGACCCCATCCCGCCAAGGGGGAGGTGGGGAGTGGGGAGCGAGAGTGATGGGATGCCCCCCCCCCGAATTTAAACTCCTTCCCAGCAGAGCCAGATTAACTATTAGCTAACTTCTAGAAACCTAACTATTAGTAGTAGCCAGTAATATGCTATTAAAAATATTCAGATAGCGTGCTATCATTTAATTGACTTGTGCTTAACGTATCTTGACATGGAAATATTTATAGTTACAAGTGCAAAGAAAGGAGCCATTGCAAATGTTTACTGTATTTATTTGCACTTAAGAGGGTACAAAAGAACATATTTATGTTCAGGCAGAAAATATCCCGCACTGGCACATGTGTTGGATTGTGCCCCATAACAAATGGGGGGATGGGGGATATGGCATTGGGGGGCCTTGGGATGAAATGGGGGACATTTCGACGGGAGGCAGGCCGCAAAGAGGCCAAATTTAGGCTGGATTGAGCTCCGTGTCTTTCCAAGTTAGTGGAGTTTCAGGGGGATGGATGCTCCTTTTAGGGCTTGGAGCCCTTCGTGGGGCAGGGCAGGGTGTCTGGAAGCCACTGGTCCCATTCTCCCCAGCGCAGTGGCGTGACACCTGTCTGGCTCTCCCGCCCGCACCGCTGGGGTTGCTTCCAGGATGAGAGCCTGGCGTTTCTGCCCAGGCGGTCAATGCCGGGGCGTTGCGCGAAATCCACAGGGCCTCTTGCCCCGCCACCGGGTGCTGGAGTGGCGGCTGGGCTGGGGGCAGCCCGCGTTGCCTCCGAGGGACGGAAACGTGGCAGGGCTTCCGGCTCATCCCTCTCCTTGTCCGCCAGCACCCGTTTGTCTGCCAGCCGCTGGCCCGGATCCTGGTCATTGAGCTGCTGGATAAAGCCACCGATCCGGATGTGTCGGCCGCGTCGTTGGACGATGGGGAGTTTGAGGTACGGCCCCCAGCAGTGACTGCAGCTGACTGTACCACACTGCATTTGCGTCCCGGCTTCCCTCTTGGGCAAACAGCTCCAAGCAGTTTACAGGTTCCCTTCCGCTCCGTGTTATGTGCACAACGGCCTTGTGAGGTAGGCTAGGCGGAGTGGGTGACTGGCCCAGAGCCCCCCAGTGAGCTTCTGGGCGAGAGGGGACTAGAACCCGGATCTCCCGGCCCCCGAGTCCAGCTCTGTAACCTCCACATGATGCTAGCTCTCAGTGAGGCGGCGTGGTAGGATTAAAGTGATGGAGAGTCCAACGAAAGAGGAACCCCCCAACGATGCCAATGGAGTGAGAAGCTGGCTGGGAGTTAAGGGTATTGTAGTCCAGTACAACTGGTGGCCATCCGCTTGAGGAAGTCTGATCTTGCTGGTTTTTAGCTCGAATGGAGCAGCTCTTCTGTAGAGAAAGTGGATGGATGGATTCGCTTTCTTCTTTTCTTCCAGGCTTATGAAGTTTTTCCCGACAAAATCCATTCCCACAGGCAACACGGGCAACTGGAGAGCACGCTTTCCGAGATCCAGTGTGAGTTACCCGCCTTCCTCTACTCAGGACCCCTCCCCACTTTAATCCACAGGCTCCCGTTCCTCCAAGACCCGGGAGTCCATCTCGAGAAAGCCGGCCGTTCTCCTGGGAGGGGGAAGCCGTTCCCACAGGTCGCACTGGGGAAGCGAGGGGGGGACACCGCAGCTACCCCTTTGCCCTCAAATGGCACATGACGGGGGGATTTAGGGTAGGGGTGCTTCTGCATCCTGGCCAAGTGTCAATATTTCAGGCTCCTGCTGCTTTACCGAGAGTTTGTACAGAGAAAATAGGCCGAGAGGCGCAAGATAATAGGACTTCTGAGCATTCCTGATCCTTTGTAGCGTGAAGCACAGTTGGAGTTGTTGAGAGAAATGGGGGGAGTCCATTTCTGAGACGCTGTTCATGTTTTTTCCCTTTTTAGTTAATCAGGTTAAATTTGGGCCCCCACTCCGGAAAGAGACAGAACCGTGGTGCAGTTTGGTAAGTCGGATGAGAGCGTGATGTGGAAAAGGGTAATTTAAAAAGTGCCGCATCCAGCAGCTAGGAATGTCAGAGAATTCTCGACGTACTCGGACGAGCTTGGATTTTTATTTATGTGTAAAACTAAATCGGCAGATTTTGCTGGGGTGAGTTTTTCCAGGGCTGCGTGAATCCTGCAGGTGTGTGGACTTTTTTTTCCTTTCTGCAACTTTTCATGAATTCAGCCATGGAAAAATGTGGGGGGAAAACCCCACACACCGAGTTGCAAATGCACGCTTCCCCCAAGAGCCTGAAATATGAAAATGGGCATTTTGAGGAGGATTTGCAAAGGATTGGAAGAACGAATGTTTAAAAGTACGAATTCGCACAAACGCACTTGTGCAAAATCCAGTCCCTTCCACAAGCAGACGACAGAACGAACGATGCATGAAAATCTACAGAATGCGGATTTTATGAATTTAATGAAGTCTGTGTCCACTTTTCCGCAACACCTCCTGAGTCAGCGGTTGGCAAGCTGTGGCCCTCCAGAACTGTTGGCCTACAACTCCCATGCTCCCTGAGGATCAGCGATCCTGGCTGGGGCTGATGGGAGAGGTAGGCCAAACAGCAGCAGGGCTCGAGTCGCTCCCTCTTGTCTTAAGACATGTTGGGTTTGGTACATTTGGGAAAGTCAGGGCACTGCCGTGCTGGGTTGTGGGGGGGGGGGAAATGGGGCAGGCCCGGGTGCTTGTTCCTGCGACCCAAACTATGGTTGCCCTTTTCCAGAGCTCCTGGCAGGGAAAGTCTCTGCCCGCCACCCCCTTCCCGATCCCTCCATCTGAAATTCCTGGGGCTCACAGTGCAGGCAGGGCGTTGCATGCGGAAGGAACTCCCACATTCTAGCCTGAGATGAGACGAAGCCTCTTTTCGCTTGTTCCACAGAAGGAGGAGGAGGAAGAGAGCTGGATGCTGTTGGGAGACGGAGAGTAAGGAATCGCTGGGGGTGGAAAGAAGGGCAGAGGGGGGATGGGGACAGCCCTTTTCCCCTCCCTGGCGCGACGAAGTTGCCCCCTTGTCCTTTTGCCACTGAGCTCTGTTTGCTCCTCGACGGGACGATTCTGCGGTGGCAGCTCCTTTCTCACCGCACTGACTGGGAGAGCAGTTTTGCCTGTTTTGCCACTGTTGGAGGCACGGGAGCGCTTCCAGGGAAAGCTGGCAGCCCTGAAGAGGAAGGGATGGGGTTTAGTTATCAAAGGGGAGGGGGATGTGGAAGCTTGGGTGGTTTTCGGCCTGTGTGGGGGGCTGCGTCATGGGCCAGGAGTCAGGTTAGTTGGGTATGTGAGTTGACGGAACTGTTTTTCTCCCCGCTGTTTGTGTCCCATGCCAGGAGCCTCCTTCAGTCGGTAGAAGAAGCACTGGAGGAGAGGTAAGGATTGGGGGAACTGAGAAAGCTGCATTGGATCAGGTCAGATTATTCCTCCATTGAGCCCAGTTCAGCCTACTCTGGCTGGCAGCAGCTCCCAAGTTTTGAAGCCAAATTGCATTTCTTTCCCAGCCACTGGGACCTTCCACACACAAGACGGTTGCCGCATTTGCTCTACCGCTGAATTTTGAATCCCTGCTGTAAATGTAAAGCTAAGATTCTAGACCTCATGGTTCTGATGTGAATCAGAACTTATACTGAATTAGACTGTTGGTTAATTGAGCTCAGTAGCATCCAGCCTGATAGGCAAGAGCTTTTTAAAGGTTTAGTTTTCCCAGTCTTTTCTGGAAATGCAGGGGGCGGAGTGTCGTGCTTGCCAAATTAGACCATTATTAGATTTCAGTCGTTGCAGTTTTCCTTTGTTAAAACTCCCTTAATTGTAGCATCATCAAGGCATAACATGAAGCTTGCTTCCTTCTGCCCCACCTTGTATCTGCCGCTGCCCATCTTAAAAGTCTGTGCCTGTCTGCATTTTTCCCTGTGGGTGTTGCAGCAAAATGCAGATACTTGGCAGCACTGAAAGTTTCTCCAAAGGAAGGGCACTCTGCACATGTTTGGGGAATCCCATTCCCTGCCTACTACAGGGCTGAATTGACATGAGAACATAGGTCTTCCTGGCGTGCGTGGCTCCGGTGGAGCCCAAGCACAGTGCCTTTTTCTGCCTCCATCATATTTATTTTTAAAAACTCTTTCTTTTGCAGAAGCCTAACCATCGGCCCTGCCCGCCCCACAGAGCAGGTTTGTTCCACTCTCCCCGCCCCCCACAGTTGCGTCCGTCCTCAAATCGGTCCCCTCTAAAGGGGCCTGTCTTTTGGGGGGGGCAGGCTCACGGTGAACAGCGTCCCGGCAGCACCCCCGAGGGAGACGCAGACCTCACGAAAGGACCCCTGTGGGATTTTCTCAACCTGGAGCTGACATATAAAGCTCCCTGGGAGCAGGACGACGGCCCCGAATATTCAGAAGTGGGGTGCCAAACCACGCCAGGTAAATGTGGGGCGGCGCTGGAAGATGCAACCCAAGAGGATGTGGGGCCAAAAGCCACGACAGTAAAAAAAAAGCATAAATAGAACTGACCACGATGTCAGAATGAAAACAGATATTGCGAAAACTTGGGTGGATTCAGGATGCACCAGTAAAATTCTGGTTGATCGAAGTGGATCACCAAGGAATCCTGACTCCTCTTTTAAGCACATTGAGAGCCAGGATTGGGTTGGATTCTGTGGACGGGCCGTGAGCCTTGACCTGTTTGGACGCTCCAGATAAATCCCTGGAGTCAGGAATCTTTCATTTTAAGCGCAAACCGTTTGTCCTCGGCTCCTGAGCTCTGGTTTCTAGAAAACAAAGACACACCAAGTAGACTTTGCGAGCGCTTCATCTCCACACTTCCGGTTTTCAAAATGCTTCTCAGGGCAGCCCTCGTTTGATTGCCTGGTGTCTCCAGGTCTGGATGTGAAAATTACCCCCTGAACCTGCGACAGCTGCAGCTGCCAGTCAGTGTCAGGGGCTCTGGCTTGGTATATATAAAGGGAGCTTCCGACATTCCTATGCACCGGTTTCTGACCGTCGCTTTTTTGCGGAAGGGCCAGTCTGATCAGATCCTACACCTTCTCTCCACAGGCAGCACAGACGTGGGTCGTACCCCAAACAGCTCAGGGACTGGCTCCCCAAAGCCAGCTGATTCGCTGCTTTCCACAGAGTGGGCCACGATGAAGAAGAAGGAGGAGGCGACCGTAAGTGTGGGGAGAACCCCACATTTCAGAGCAAAGGGGCCTGGAATGAGAAGCGGGTGGGCATGAGATCGGGGCATGCACTGCTTTGGCGAGGAAATGGGGGGGGCACTGGGACTTTGCAGAAGGGGGCTCTAGTCTAGTCCGCTGAAACCCCATGTGTATTTGGGGTGGAATTCCTGGGTTCTGCCCCAATTCTGGGGGTTTCGAGGGGTGGTGCAGGCCGTTAAGAGGAAAGGCAGAGGGGCAGCCATCTGGGTTTATGCTTTTGCTACATGAGTGAGGAAGGGGCTCCAGTGAAGCCCCCGGTTTTCCTTACCGGTGGGAGTGAGTCACCCTGGATAAGGAGGGGTTACTGGGGTGGGGTGAGGGAAGCATCCAGTGTCTGAGCTTTTGGAAGCTGTACAAACTCCTTTGCTGTCCCTGGTGACTGTCCCTCCCTCCTCTCTCTTCACTTCCTCCCATGCCCCCACCCCCACAGAGGCTGCTTTGCCACGGGTTGCCCCCCACCCCAAAAGTCCACGTAAGTACCGCTCAGCCGTCCACTAGCAAGGTTTCCTTGGGGGTCCCTGTGATGCGTCATTTCATTTCTCTGCTGCCCCACAGCCCAGTCGCTTTGGGTGGTTTGCGGGATACCGGATGGGGCACTTTGGGGCGGGGGGTGGGGTTGGAGGCAGACCACAGCAGGAGGAGGTGCCGATCGGGGCGGGGAGCTGCAGGTTCTGGGGTGTGTCCCCCAACAAGCTGTCATTGGGTCTCCCCAGCCGTTGCGTTGTCTTTCCCGATTCCAAAAAGGTCAGCCGGCTTTCCCCAACATTCCTAGCAGTAAAAACTTTGAGAAAACCAAGTAGCAGCATTCCTGGTCCCCTTCCTTTGCCGTGTGCCGGCCCTCTAGCGGAACGCAGCCCCTAAGGGTGTCCCCAGGCGGGAATTCGGCCCTTGAGCTGGAAGCGCCTCCCAGGCCCGGAGGCGGGTTGCGTTGAGGTGCCCCAGCGACGCGGGAGGGTCTGCGTCTCCCCAGCCCCACCGACACCTCTCTTGCCCCTTCCACAGATGGGGGCCTGTTTCTCCAAAGTCTTCAACGGCTGCCCGCTCAAAATCAACTCGGCCACGACGTGGATTCACCCGGAAACCCGAGGTGGGAACCGCGCCTGCTTTCCTCCGGGCCGCCGGTGCCTCGCGTGGGCCTCTCGGGTCGAGGTGTAACGTTCCCTGACTCCTTGCAGATCTGTTCCTGGTGGTCGGGGCCGAAGAGGGCATTTACACCCTCAACCTCCACGAACTCCACGAGGACATGATGGAGAAGGTGAGGCGGCGGAGAGGGGCGAGGTTGGAGGGAGGGCAGCAACTGAGCATAATCCATCCCGTCCCTCCCCAGAGCTTCTGCCCAGGGGAGGGCAGAGGGGGGCATCCAGCGGATGCGGAGGAGGCCTGCGGTCGCTCCTGTGTATCCACTCCGTGTTTCAGCCTCTCTGTCAAAGAAGTAATCCATGATGTTGAGCCTACCTTGGGGGCGGAGGGGGCAATCTCGATTCAGCACCATGGATAATTCCTTAAAGACAGCCAAATACTTGGCAGAGCTGTCGTAGATCCGCAAGGATTCCTGGCTCCAAAAAGACCCCTTGCCATAAATTCTAAAGATCACCTGGCCCTTTTCACTTTCCCAAAAGGCTGATCCTTCGGTGTTTCCTGGCATTTGTGCTTTTCCTATTTTAGAGGTGGAGGACAGGAGGTTGAAGAGGTCTGTCTAGTCCCCTAAGGCCTAAAGGCATTCTCTCCAGCCTCAATATGGGGATCCGTTTTGCATTTATGGTCTCCCCACTTCGTCTTCCGTTGCTCCCACCCCTAGAATGTGGCTCCTGAAGCTTTCCCAAAGGTTACCCCAAAGAGATTCAACACCCTGCCCTCTGTTGCAACACTAAACTGCAGAGCCCTTGTGGGAAACTAGGGAGTCGCACAGAAGCGCTTGAGCCCCATTCAGTCCTGGTGCTCAGTGTGACTTCATTCTTTGGGCCAGGTTGCAGCTGGTGAATCTCAGGATTGCAGCAAAATAGCCAAAATAACAAGCAGAAATTAGATGCCGCAAGTCTGTCTTTTTATCATCAGTGTCAGCTCTTTTATTGAGGTATTATAATCGCATGGCCCATGCAGGCGGCTTTTTTCTAAGCAAGGATCGTGTTGTTTCTGTTAGGCTGTTGTTCTGACCGGAGCTCCTTCCCTTTCGTTCCCCTGCCTGTTTGATTCCTGGTTTTCTCTGCCTTTCTCTCCCCTCCCCTCTCCTCCCCTCCAACCTGTTCTGCCTGCAGCTCCTTCCGCACAGGTGCTTCTGGCTGTACTGCATGAATAATGTGCTACTAACCTTGGCGGGTAAGTACCGAGGTGTTGAGCCGTTCCTACGAAACAAACATATGTAGGTCTAATTGTGCCAAGCTCGTTTTAGTGTCTCAGATGGCTTTAAATTTGGTTTTGAGCGTGGCAGCTTGAAATAGGATGGTGTTTTTATTGTGCTTGGGGTTGGGGTTTTTTTATGAACTGTTGGGCATGGGCCAGAGGATTTTGGCTATGGGGTGGTGCAGAAATGGAATAGATTATGAAGATAATGACAGCAACACCTGGAGGCTGGGACCGAAAAGGGTTAGAGGATTGATGGTACTGGGCAATTCCACCCCAGCAAGCTGAAGACCAACGGTCAGGAGTAGACGCCATTGGGTTGTGTGGACCGGCTTGGATTACGGAAGAGGAGGGATGCTTGCCAGCCTCTGGCCCTCCGAGCGAGTCCCCAGCCTCTTCCCGCTTCTGCTTTCCAGGGAAGTCTTCGCAGGTCTCAGCTCACAACCTCCTGGGCCTTTTCGAGCACCGGCGGCAGCTGCAGAAGCGCCCGGTCCCACTTTCCATCGCCACCAACCGGCTGACTGAGCGGATCATCCCCAGGTGGGGAGGACGGACCAAGGGCCGCAAGGATGTGGCAGGAATGGGGTCTTTTTAGAGGGACCACCCTCCAGTGGGGTGCCTCTCCGGATGGACCAGAACTGAGGGCGGGGAGGAATCCGTGTGGCGAGATGGGGAAGGGGTGGGCAGCTAACGAGTCACACCCTGAACATTTAAATTCATCCGAGCCCTCATTCTGCACCCCAAATTTCAGATTACGTGTACCTGCTCAGAGAATGCCCTCTGCACATGTTCACAGGTGCTCTTCTGCATTAATGCTTTGGCTGTTCCTGGGCACAGCCCTTGCAGAGAGAGGCAAGGAAAGTGCCAGGGGTTGAGGAACAGGGTCAGGGTACCTCTGGACTGCCCACCCCGAAATCCTCTTTCTTCTTTTGTCCCTCCCTCAGCTAAAACGGCTCCTTTCTCCCGGCAGGAAGTTTGCCCTCTCTGCCAAGATAGCAGATACCAAAGGATGCCTGAAATGCCGTGTGGGTGCGTACCTCTCTCCTCCCCTATTAATCTCATCTCAGTGCGGTTCCCAAACCCCGTAGAAACAGGTATTTGGCATTCTTGGAGGCAGGCAGCGGGGCCATGGCTCCGTGGCTGAACATTTTTCAGCGTAAAAGGGAACGGGTGGCAGATGAGGCCCAAGACCAAATACTCTCTGTTTCTGTATTTCTATTTTTTTTCTCTGTGCCGTGTTTCTAGTAAATATGGGGAGAACATATAGAACGCGTCGGTACATATAGACCGAGGCAGTCCTTCAGATACCCCGGCCCCAGTCTGTTTAGGGCTTTGAACCGGACTTCCAGCGTACCTGGAAGAGGACTGGAGTGACATGTTCTTGTAAGCCGGTGCCTTTTTGGCTGTGTGATGAAACGTCAAAACCGCCTCGATTATGTAAACTGGTTTTGTGTCATCATCGGTTGTGTAGTAGTGAGACCGTTGGGCTGCGGCTCAGGAGAACTGCGTTTCTCTCTCCCCTTGGCTGTGATGCTGGTTTAGGGCCAGTCACCGGCTCTCCGCCTCACCTCCCTCGCAGGGCTGTTGTGAGGCTGAAAGGGAGACAAGGGAAGCCAAGCCTGCTTGAGCGGCAGAAGGCAGATTTCCCAGACTGGCCACGCTGCTCCGCCAGCTGTGCGTTACATCTGGAGGGAGGAGCAGAACTTCTGCAGGAGTCGTGTACAACCGACTTCTGCAGAAGGCAAAGATCTTCCTTTCTCAAAAAAAACCTAATAACTAATTGCCATAAGACCTTTGTTCTGTATTTGTGCTGCATTCCAGTGTGGTTTTTTGTGTGTTACGGTTTTTATTATTGTGATTGTGAGCCGGCTGTGGCACAACTGGTGGCATGCAGATGTTTTAAACGGATAACTAAACCTGGATGCCTGGGACTGCAATCCCCTTGCTGGCTGGGGATGATGGGCCTTACAGCACAGCCCCGCAAGAAGGCGTCGGGTTGGCAGGCAGGGATTCGAGAGCCGAACGCTGGGGCTTCCCCCGAAGAACGGGAGGCCTGGGGGTCGGGGGGATCACGGCGAAGGGGGCCTTTCTAGGAACCGCTCGGGGTGCATGGGTGGAGAGCATCTTGTCAAGGGCAGGACGGACGACGGGCGGCAGCTCTGGTGCCCCGCCTGTGTGCAGGAGCTGCTCCCCGAGTCCCTCGCCGGCACGGACGGGGATAACCGTGCTGGGCTTGCCCTTGCAGTGCGGAATCCTTACTCCGGGAGCACCTTCCTCTGCGCGGCGCTGCCCGGCAGCCTGGCCCTTTTGCAGTGGTACGAGCCCTTGCAGAAGTTCATGCTGCTGAAGGTAGGTGGCAGCCGTGGGGGGGATGCCCGGCGGTGGGGCGCTGCTCCCGTGCAGGGTGCGGGGGGACGGGCAGCCGAGAAACCCCTCTGGCCCTCTCTCGCCCCATCCTGTAGCATGTCCCTGTGGTGCTGCCGGAGCCCCTGAGCCTGTTTGAGCTGCTGGTTGTGGAGACGGAGGAGTACCCCCAGGCCTGCTTCGGGGTGACGGGCAGCGCCCAGCCGGGCGCAGAGCTGTACTTCAGCATCCTCTCACTCACCTCTGGCCTCAGCACCTCCAGCCCTTCCGGTAAGCGGGTCCGTGTGGCGGGCAGGAAACGGCCATGACGGCGCTTACGCTTTCTCCGCTTGGATCTGTGAGTTCTTCGTTTCGCCCCTTGCTGGTTTTCCTGCCAAAGTTCTTCTGCATAGCCCGGCTTTTCCCGAGCTTTTCCCAAGCTTGCTAATATCATGTGACGCTTAGAACATGGCCTGGAGACCCTGGTTCAAGCCCCTGCTCAGCCATGATGCTTGCTGGGTAACTTTGAGCCAGCTGCTCCCTTGTGGCCTACCTCACAGGGTTGTTAGTGCAAGGGCAGAGGAAGAGCAAAGAGTCAGGATCTCAATGCAGTGGAACAATAATCCCAGCCTTGCTCCTGTTTTGACTGTAATCCTGTGTGCACTCATCTCTCCTCAGTCTGGATGGAATGCTTATTAATTAAATACATTTTTATCCTGTCTTTCTCCAGCCCCATAATGCCCCTTTAGACTGAAAGGGAGTGGCTGCCCCGAGACCACCCCATAAACTTCGTGGCTAAGGGGGATTTAAATCCCCCCGTGCAGCACCTCACCCAGCTCCCATGGATTCCTCTAGAGCAAGCCTGGGCCATTTTCAGCTTTCAGATCCCCCACACGACACTTGGCGCCAGAAGAAGAAACGTCCTGGAATAGCTGCAGGGGCGGCAAGAGGGCCAAAATCAGCTTTTCCCAAGCTTATTTCAGTTCTGTTGGGGTTATGCAGTAGCTAAAACCTGTGCAATTTGGGGGGGGGGGGGGGGGGGGCTCCATGCTGCCTACCCCCATTCTAGGGGGAAGAGAAGATCTCTCCCAAGTAACCACTGCAGTGGAATCGAAGCCTTCATTATTTATTTCTTTAAAGTTTTTATATGCCGTCCCCTTGCTATATAGCCTCGGGATGGCTCACACAAATAAATAAATATAATACAAATACAGTTAAAACCCGGAAACACCCTGGCTGCACAATTAAAACCTATAAATATCTGCATTCATCTGCGTCATGGCAATTTCCCCTTGGAATTTGGAGAGCAGCTGACCCGCAGCTTGAACCCAGAGCCTTGTCTGTGCAGTCAGGGCTTTGCCCCGAAGCCGCGGCTCCCCCCACTGCACACATGCTGCCAAATGCCCCCGATTCTGCCCCTCTTGCCCCATGGCACCCTGAGCCTCTCTGACTCCTTCGCAGGCCGCCCCCTCGTCATGGCCAGCCACGTCACGCAGATGGACCGAGACACCGTCCTGGTGAGCTTCGAGCGTAAGTTCTTTTGGCATCCTCCCCTCTTGCCCTTGCCGTGCTGCTTTTTCAGGCTGTCGAGATGATCCTCTTCCTCTTCCTCTTTGGGCATCAAGATTTAAGATGCAGAAAAAATTAGAAAGGGTGCAGAGAAGGGCAACAGAAAGGATCCAGGGTGTGGAAACACTGCCCTGTGAGGAGAGGCTGAGAGAACTGGGGTTGTTCAGCCTTGAGAAGAGAAGACTGAGGGTGGGACAAGATATCCCTCTGAGTACCCGAAAGGCTGTCACAAAGAGGAGGGCCAAGATCTCTTCTTGCTGGTACCAGAGTGGAGGACACGGAGTAATCCGTTCAAGTTGCGACACCCCAGATTCAGGCGAGATATCAGGAAAAGCTTCCTCACTGTCAGAGCAATAGGACAGTGGGACCCCCTGCCCGGAGAGGTGGGGGGCTCTCCCACACTGGAGGCATTCGAGGAGAAACTGGGCAGCCCTCTGAGTGGGATGGTGCAACTCGTGTCCTGCAACAGCAGGGGGTGGACTAGATGGCCTTCTGGCCCCTTCTTACTCTACTGTTCTTTGATTCTATGATTCTTCTTCCCCCCACAGGCTGTGTGAGGGTTGTGAACCTCCGAGGTGCTCCGCAGGGGGCCCTCCCCCCAGAACTCCCCTTCAATTTCTCTATCGAGACCATTGGTAAGCGGGGGCCTTGGGGAGCAGCTGGTGGGGGGGAGAAGGGAACGTCCTGGATCTCATTAGATCCAGACGTCCCGCCCTGTGTTGGGTTAGGATCTTGGTCCATCCGGCTGCCCAGTGGCCAGGACGGCTAATGGCAGGAGGGGCTCCTTGCGGCAACAGCCAAAGGAGGGGAAGTCCGGCGTTGGCTGGGCAACCTCAGCCGTTCCCAGATTCCTTGAACTCAGCAGGAATGCGTTGGGAATATCAAGCGTTACAATGCCCGTTTTTGGAGGCGGTGGTCGTGAGCAACACCAAAATAATTAAGGATAGGATGTGGACAACGGACCGTGCTCCTCCGAGCCGTGAGAAGATCAAGGAACGGAGCGAGAAGGTGGCTTTTTGGTACAGCTGAACGAGGCTAGTGAAGGTCCTGGGTTCAGGTGGACCAGGGCTGTTGACTCGGCCCGGCGGCAAGAGCTGTCCGGGGCTCTGGAAGGCATTTGGCCTGCCCTGCCTGAGATGCCCGGATCCCTGTGAGGGTGGAGGGTGCCCAGCCGCTGAGTGCACCCGGTCGGCTGGGGCACCGTCCGACGTGGCGTCTCCTTCCCACCCTCCCACAGTGTGCCTTCAGGACAGCGTCCTGGCCTTCTGGAAGCACGGCATGCAGGGACGGAGCCTGGAATCCAGCGAGGTGAGTTGGAGCCGCTGGGAGACTTGGCAGAGACGCCTAAGGAGGACCACGGACCCCAGAGGTGCACGGCGTGTGGGGTGGATTTCCCCTCTGAGAAAAGCACTCTCTGCACCCACCGGGGGAGTGCCAAATGGGGGGGGGGGCTTGCAGGCTCATTTTGGTCCTGTTTAATTCCTGGAAGAAGAATTAAAGGTTCTTTATTACTGCTGTGATCACCCCTCGGAATTGAGGATTTCCCGCTGAGCTTGTCTGTGTTCCCCAACAGGTCACACAGGAAGTCACGGACGAGTCCCGAGTGTTCCGGGTCTTAGGTGCTCACAGGTGAGGGCTTCCAAGAGAAGGGCTGAGGCTGGGACGAGGGGGAAGTCCTTCCTTTCAGCCTTTCCCCCCGTCATGGCTCGCGCTGGTCCTTAGCCCGCTTGTTGGCTAGCAGGGGTGGAGAACATGCTCTCCTAAAACGGCTGGACAAGTCACCCTGAAAGTGTGTGGGGGACCCAGGGCCTGGATCCGGTGGGTCACACAGCTGGGTACCTGTCAGTGCCCACAGCCCCGCAGGGGTCCATGGGGATGATCCGCTGGACCTGCTGCTGCTCCTGAACCTTACAGGGGGTTCATTCCCCGCTGTCTGTCTCTGGTCCAGCAAGGTGGTGGTGAGAAGCAGGTGTGGGAAGCCCCGAGGCCTGTTGAGCAAGCGAAGGGGGCCAGGAGGAGGAGGAGGAAGGGGGGAAGGGAACAGTGGGTGACCACATGGGGAAGCTCTTTGGTTTCCTGCCCAGAGGCCCTCCGAAACCTGGGGCTCCCTTTCTGGCGCTCCTCTCCCTCCCTGCACTCCCGGCATCTCGTTTTCCGCTCTGCCAGGGATATCATCTTGGAAAGCACCCCGACGGGCAACCCCACTGCGCACAGCAACCTCTACATCCTGACGGGCCACGAGAACAGCTGCTGAGCACCTTCTCCCAGCGCCTCCTGGATGTGCCCAGCATCGCAGTGGGCCGTCGCCAGAGATGGGCTGGCCGCGATCTGCCTGCGGCGGAGGAAAGCCGCCCCGTGCGCACGCACGCGTGAAAGGGTCCGGTCTTCCCTTCACGGCTCCCGCATGCACTGGATATACACTGGTTGGGATGCAGGAACATTCTTCATGCCTCGTTCTGGTCTTCCCGAGAGTCTGCCGCACACCCGGACGGGCGGAGATGCTCTTCCTCTAACTGGGGCCAGCCTTTCCTGAGATACTTTTGCAATAATTTGACCACAGTCAGTTGGAGGAGTTTGCAATCCTCCCTGGCTCCCCACTGTGCCTGTTTGGAAACGTTTCTCGCCCCCTTTCCTCTCCCTTCCTAATCCACAGAAGTCGCCCACATCCTGGGGTGCCGCGATCCGGCACAGCTGTCCGTGTGACGACAATCACTTGCGGGGTGCAGAAGGTGCACCCCTTCCTTGGCACCTGAGCTTAAGTTAAACGTCTTATAGGGCACTTTTGAGGTTCTGGCGTATCTCCTTGGATGGGGCCAGGGACAAGGGTTCCGTTGCGGAGCTGGATGAGCTGAGTGGGAAACATGGCTGTGCTCGTGATGGGCGAAATCGGGTGACTGTGACTGGGGTGTTTGTGGGTGTTTGGCACTTGTGTGAGGTGCATGAGCAGAGCATCTGTTGGGTGCGTGGGTGGGTGGAGAGCTGGCGCACTGGCACAGCACCACGGAGAGCGAAATGTCATAAAGGAGCAGCTGTGGCTCTTTCGGTATTCACCTGCTTGCAAGCCCAGCTCCTTGAGCAAAGCAGACGAAACCCATTTTGAGATAGTTTGGGGCCGAGCAAAACGTGCTGCTTAATGCACGCTTGCCTTTAGGAATGGCTCGCCGTTTGTTCGTTTGTTTTTAAAGGCAGAAAAGTTTGAACACGTTAAACGCAGGGTAGGTAGGTTGTCGCTTTTACAATAGCAGCCACAGCGGAGGCTGGCCTGAAGGACAGCTTTCGAAGTGTGATGGCTGCGGTGGGAGGAGGTAACTCCTGGCCCCCGTCCCGCTCCCTCCTCGCTGCTTATCCTAGAGGTAAAGCCGAGCATGTTGAAATGCTGCCGGACGTGTAATTAGTCTAGTGCTTGGTTTAGGGTCTTTCGGTAGCATAGACTTTTTAACCAGTGCCACCCCTTGCAGCTGTTCTGTTCTCCCTTTTCACATCTTCGCTGGCTTGCCTGCCTGCCAGGCAGTGAGCTGATAAGCCTGTTGGCCGTGGCCCTTCTGAACGATCACCTCTGCCGTCTGGCGGATCGACAAGCCGGTTGCAAAGGTGAAGAGGAGACATTCCAGAACATGGGCCAGCGGTAGATGCCCAGCCCTGCTCAGCCTCGGTGCCGGTGCTGCCTTTTCACCCCAGGTAGTTTATTGGAGCCCCTTCTGGGACGGCATGCGTGTTGGACGACTGTTACAACGTGAGATGCTTCTGTTAGGTCGGCTGATTTGGAGAGAGGGACCGCTGGTGTTGCATCAGTGTCTTGCAGGCCACTGTGGGGTGTGAGATTTCGAGTGCAGGGTTGTTGTGCGGGGTTCTTGTTTTGCTGCCTTAGATACCCCAGACGGTCTCCTGGTGGGAACCTCGACCCGGGTGGTCAGGGCCAGCCACGTTACCTCAGAGGCCTACGACTTGCCTTTCCCAAGGCTGCTAAGCATATCTCTGTGGTTTTTAATGGCTAAAGCTGGAATCGTATTGTCCTGAGAAAACCAAACTTGAAAAGAAAATGGCTATTTAACATAGAGATTGATATTACAGTGTGGTGTTTTACTCTCCGCCGGAATGGGTTTTTCTCTGGGGTGTGATGAATTGGGGATTCTCCTGGGGGTGAAGTCTGTGGAAATGCTAGGAATTTCCGTCTCTGTTTTTGCTGTGATTATGCATCTTGTTAATTCATGTAAGAGCGCAATCCTATGCAAGTTTGGATGGAAAATAGCCTGGAACGCCCAACTTGCTTTGGATTGCAGCTTAAGAAGCCAGGAGGACGAAAACCAGGGTCCAATTAAGATCCTTCAACTAGATCGTAATTTAGATCTTATTAAGAGCCATGTATGCTAGGAAACACAGCTTCTGCTTCGTTCCTGGTGCAGAAAAGTCACGCTAGATCAGACCAGAGGGTCATGCAGCTCAGCATTTCGTGCCCACAGCAGCCAGTGACCCAGAACCAGAGCGGGCCTCCCCTGAGGTGCCCCCAGGATCTGGTTGGTAGAGGCATCCTGCTTCCAGAGCCATCCAGATTAGTAAAATGTGTAGCCCCCTCTGATGAATTTGTTTGATTTCTGTTTAAAGCCATCTCGCCACGAACCGTTGCGCGGTTATTGCGAAAGATGGAGAAAATGAGCTTCCTGGCCCTTTTTCTGCACGTTGGATAATTCATGCACCTTGATCGTGCCTCCCCTTCTTTCCCCTTCAAAAAGCACCACATTTTTTACCCTGGTTTTTTACCCTGGAAGTATCCCAAAAATGTTTGTTGCACAGTTCAAGTCCTTTGTCCTAACGCACATGTAGCGGACTGAGTTTAATTATGGAGGTTTTCCGGGGTCCACATACCAATGGTGGGTGGGGCTGAAGGCAGGGGGTGGAGCCAGAGCCTAAGGAGTGGAGCTAAAATACCAAAAATGCCTGCTTCTTGCAACTCGGTGGCATTTCAGCCTTTTGCAATGGTGTGGGGAGGAACGTCAGAATAGCTGTGAAACTTCTGATAGATCACTGGCTGGGGAGGAGAGGTTTGGCCTTTCTCCAAAATCCTAATCTACAAGTGCAACATACACAATATTTGACAGCCCCCCCCCACCCCACCATGGGCATCAGTTTTTAGTTTTGCAGATGGAATGAAAGTACTTCAGTTGGGTTCTTGTCATTCTGTAAACTCAGTGAACCTCAATGCAAGGGCATGGCTTGACTCCAGAAATCCTTTCCCTGAAATTCAGGACTGAAGAGGCTGCCAAACAACAATCACAAAACATTTGTTCTTTTAGCAGATGGCCGTTATGGTGCAGTTCACTTTGTCTCAGCTTTTCAGTGCTTGCTGTAGATCCCAGTCTACATCTGTACTTAATTCCAACTTTGAAAGTCTTGTAAAAGTTCCTCGATGGGGAATTGAGGTGAGGTCGGAGTAAAGAATGCAACTTGTTCCCGCGTTCAGAGATATCTAATTTGTGCAGCTAACGTTCTTTAAAAGCAACATAAAACAGAAGGGAGAGATAAAGGAGGAGGGGAAGGAATATGTAACATCCAAGATGGTGGAGTTCAAAATTCAAAATAACACTGGGCATCAGTGAAACCATTCCAGTGGTGGGGAACAGAATAAAACCAAGTTCTTGGATCCAAAATATCTTTGCATGCAGATCATGGGGCATCTCTGCAAAGGGGTGCCTGAATCCCTGGAAAGACACTGCCAGACAAAATATACAACACTGGCTAGGTGGACCAGTGGTCTTGAGTCCAAGGGAGCTTCCTGAAATCCAAGTTTGGTCCAGAAGTTGCAAGCTGCTTGGAGAATGAGTGTGTTAAAGTCGAACTGTGCAGTTCTTTAAATTCTATGCTGTATTTGGAGACAGAGGAGTGGAAGGACTCTTTCACTGCATTTTCCAGTGGAAGGAAAATGGTAGCTACCACCAAAAAAAGAAATGGTAAAAAAAAATATTGCAATGAGGCTATGAGCAGAGAGGCAGAAGAGGAAATGAAACAATTCCAAAATGGAGAACAACTTGAGAAATGTTGGGTTTGCTCTTCCCCGAGAAAGACTGATACGGTTTTATTTTCTTCCCAATAGTTTTATGTAGAGGGTGCGTATTTAGAACTGACATGCTCAGCCCAGGCAGACCATCGGCCAAGCTTAAATAGGGACAAGATGCAGTTTAATTAAGGCGGCATAGATGGACTGTTTTGTCCTCACAACAACCCTGTGAGGTAGGTTCAGTGCACGGGAGTATGTGTGTGTGATTACCACCAAAGCACCTGTATGGCTGAGCAGACATTCAAATCTGGGTCCCCCTGGAATCAAGCTGCTGCCCTCCAAGTGTGTCAACTGCGTGGGGGATTCTGGGAGTCGCACCCTGAGACAGTCTGGTTTAAATCCCAGGCCTCCACAGCAAGCCTCCCAGAAGCCTTTGCAAGCTCTGACTCCCATGAATCCTTTCGCCTCGCGAAGGGGAGCAACGTGGGCGAGCCCCTTCGCCCCCCCCCAGTCAACGCGAGATGTTAGGCGAGAGCGGATGATCTCATTCCTCCCTCCACCGCCTAATCTTTTATCCAATGGCAGCGCCCTTTGTCGTTGACGTCACCTCTGTGTAAAGTACTGCGCTGCGAGCTTCGAAGGGCTTAGCCGCAAACGCACAAAACGGAAGGCCTGAGGGTGGTAGAGGTTCGGCCGCGTCTACGTGAATGCCATCCAGCTCAGCCAATCAGGCGTTCGCCCTCTGTCCCTTATCTTCCCGCCCACCGTACTTTTGGCCAATCGGTGCTTCCTTTAGCACGCTTCCCGCCCGTGCTGCCAGGGATAGGCCTGACCGAACTCCTTCCCGCCTTCCCCAACGAGCTCTTCCTTGCAGGACGCGGCACCTGTCCAACGGGACTGCACGGGGGCGCGTGAAAGACGGGCGCGGCAGCCAATCGGCCGCCGCCTCCTTTGTGAGGGAAGGCTTCGGCGTGGAAGGTTCGCGAAACCGCCGCCGCCATCGAGCGTCGCTTCTCCCTCGTCTATGGCGACCGGAGCGAACGCAACGCCGCTGGGGAAGCTCCACCCGCCCCCGCCGCCGGGCAAGGCCGGCTACCCGCTCCCTCCGCCGGGGCTGGTGATGCAGGGCCCGCCGCCGCCGCCGCCGCCGGGCCCGGCGCAGGCCCAGCCGCAGCCCGCCATCCCCAGCCTCATGGCGGCCGCCGCCTTCCCCTTCGCCGCGCTGCCGCCGCCGCCGCCCCC